ATTTGCTTTATCTGCATAATACCCACAAGATGGATAGCAGCCTTGCAGATCTGGGAGAAAGATATGCCAGTCAGAGGAAGGCATACAGAACCATTTGTGGGAAAAGTGAATCAATATATGTGGGTAGTGGGCGGAGGAAAGCTACTAGATGTCAAACGTTCAAGAAGTAACTTAACTGTAATAGTCAAAAGCTTATTTTGGGGTGACCAAGAAAGGAGAACCAGTTCAAGAAAGTGAGGCGAGAAGAGCAAACTAATAAGCAGGCTAAAAGATGTGGCAGAGGCTTTGAAAACAGATTTCAAACAAAGGCTGAACAATTACAGTGGTTAAGAGAGGGGCGAATGAATCTGGCTCACAACTTTGAGAGTCTAGACTGAGATGGGAGCAGAAATTAGTGACATTTACGATATTATAGATTGTGCTATCTGTGCGGCAAATACCGCAGTTGCCATACAAGTAAAAACACTGTTAAACATCTGTTTAAAATGTATCTCTGAACCCAAGGTTGAAGTTTCACATGTGAAGACTTACTTAATTCTAAGTATTACTGATTTATGGTGCAAAACTGTAACTTTAATCACTAGAGTACAACCAACCCACCATGGCTTGCTTTGCCATTCATTGGCAAAAATGTAATTCTTCCAAAGAAATACGGACCAAGTTCAAGGTTTTGTTCAGGAGAAAATAACTACGCAGTTATTATCTTCGAAAAATATTCTTGGTGTATATGTCTTCCCAGAATACTCTGTATATTCCAAATGTCCAACAGCAAAGAAATGCTCTAGCAATCAATTCCAATAATCAGGGAAAATAGTGTAATTTTCAAAATAGGCCTATTGCTTTGTGAAGTTAAAGACCCAGGTGCTGTAGATTCCCAACTAAATTACAGAGTAAGTTGCAGGGATTCACTTTGGCTGTCTTGGGCATCTTTTAAGTGGACAGAACTTAAGATTTAAAAAGGCCTGTTGAGGTAAACTCACGGCTAGAATTTAAAAAATATATGCTCTCCAAATTAAATGCTTAAGGAAGTTACAAAGAAATACAACTTTTGTGGATATAATTTCTATTATAGAGTATAAAAATAACATAAATTAGACATTTTAAATAATAGACTTAAGGGAACGGGAGCCTTTTCAGAGGGACAAAGCCTTTGTGAAACAGTGACCTCTCTACAGAGTCACGCGGGCCTGTGGCTCGACTGCTATTCAGCCAGCTATTATTTACCTCTCTGTGAGGTGAACAATAACTGAATTTCAGATTCTTCAAGATCATTAAATCCACAATAACTGTTGTTGTCAGAAGTAGAAGACTCCTATAGAGATATAACAACCAAACAGGGAAACTCTTTTCAAGGCTAAAAACACAGGTGCTAGGCACAAATTACACAATGTATCAGCCCGGCAATTTTCACGTCACTTTGTTAACTGTGGCAGCCTGTAACTGCCGAGTACCTTTTATGCTGGCGTTCAGCTGCAGAGCTTACAGGGTTTCTCCAGCTCACCCGTATCTCTCTACTCCCAAATAAAGAACGTCTAAACCATTAATTATTACACTAGTGTTTAAATGTACCGTTGCCCTTTGGCTGAGAGCTCCTTGATTTTCAGGCCTCGCAGCAGGTCGGTTGCTGATGTTGGAAAGGAATCAATGTCAGAGAGTTGGCTGCCGTGCAATTTATTTGCATCACGTACATATTCCTGTATAGATTATGTGCATGAGTCTTGACATAAACAGCTCTGAAAACCTTAGCTTAGGCGTGCTAAGAAGCTACAAGAAACATCTTTGTTGCTGTCCCTGCAGTTCTCCAAGTACCATCCCATCTATTATGAAAGTAGGTGACACATCCACTTGAGTAACTGCACATTCAGATAGCAAAACTAAAAATTCATTGTCAACTTGTTTGAAATATTTTTCTGTTGGCCTACTACACGCCAGCATATTTATAAAAAAAGTATAATAACTGATATTATGAAAGGAGGGGTGGTTTTTGGTTTTGGGGGGGTTTTTTGTGGCTTTTTTTTTTTCTTTTTTTTGTAAGGCATGGGATTGAAAGGCAAAATGGAATGTATTATTTCCAGATCTCAAGAAAATTCAAATATGGGACTCCACTAGTGGCCCTTCTTCCTCTGAACAAAGATAATTTTAACCCTGTTAAAGCTCAGGTCTGCTAAGGAGCCCTTTATTCCAACACATTTCTGTGAAAGAACATGGTTATCCCACTGAAAAGGAAGAACAAAAGACCTAGTGATTGAGCTGTTGACTTTTTTTAAAAAAATACAGCGGTTTCACAGTCCCCCTAAGAGCGAGGATTTTACTGGCCTCCTAGTTCTCTTCTCCTTCTCCCTGTTATCTAAAGAGAAGATACTGAGATTTTTAACAGAAATTAGCTGAGAAATATTAATTCACGTTAGCCACAGATGTTTGGAACTCAAGTTAGAAAACTTGTGAATGTTATCTTCTTGGTTGATGACAGCAGCCCATCAGAAAAATATCATCATAAATAAAAAACAAACATTAACTTATGGGTTAAAGCAGACAGTTTGGATCTACCAAAACCATGCAAATTCTACCCTAATATCATAAATATTTTGTAGTTTGAGTAAGCATTTCTGAAATTAGTATTCAAAAGAAAAAAATCTCAAACCAGACTCAATTAAAATGTATTAAAATAATCATAAAAGATTTAAAATAAATATACATTTTTTATCCCTTTCCACTCAAGAACAGTAATTGGCGTGAAGAATACACTTTTGTTTTTCTCTGTGCTGTACAATCCCACACTCTGTTCCATTTCAATCTAAATGACACATATAACAATATTAAATAAATGTAACACTTTGACTGACAATCCAGTATAACTGGCATTATAGAGATGGATGAGTGAGTGGATGGATGGATGGATGAGCAGGTTTTATTAGGCAATCCAGCCCTCACAAAAAGGAAAACAAGTACTGGTAAGTGAAATACAGAGTTTATTCAACCGCTTGCTTAGGGGACAAATTATATGCAGCCTACATAGTATTGCCAGGGGCAAGAAGTGATGGCAGGAGATAAACTGGAAATTTAGGTTTATTCATTTCTGTGAAATTAATAAAAAATATACCAAAACAAGCTTAATAAAATGCAGAGTCTGTTTGAAAATTAATTAGAAATTTCTTCAAAGTGACTCTGAAGTAAAACTATTTCGATTTCTAATAGGAAGAGAAATTGAAAATATTTTCTAAAAAACACTGTCCTGGTTCAAAAGACTAAAGTTTAAATCACTTCAGTGCAGCGTTTCAGTTTGAACTTAACACTGCCCTCTTGTGCTTCTGCCTTAAAATACATTTTCCTTTACACCACGAGATACATGAAAACCAGAAGTCAGTTATAGAAAGAAATGCAGTCAGTAAGTGGGGTTTGATTTTTTTTTTTTTTTTAAAAAAAAAGGTACAATGAAATCAGACTAATTTGAACAAAAATATTTCAGTTGTTTTAAAAGTCGTCATCTCAATCTCTGGTATGGCATTTCTATTGTACACGTAAAAAGCCCAATATTGGTTACCAGTTTTGTCTCAGTTAAAATTTCTTATAAATTCCTGAAATAAGTTTCTGCAATTTTTCTAGTCTACTTACTCTTTGGACTAAGATTACTTAAATTTTCCGTGTGTCAAGATTACCATAACAAAACACAAACAAGAAATAACATTTAAGAAATAAAACAGCCCTAGCATTCAGGTACAGGATAAAATTACAGGCATGAAAGAAATCGTGCGTGTCATTATTTCTGGTTTTTTGCGCAGGTTTTGCACCATTCTGCAGGTTGCACAGTAGCTACACCGTAGTGCAAGATAGCTGGAGAATTTAAACTTCAAAAAAGGATTGGGCCCAATCCGCTTTTCACTCTCATCCCAGGTCTAACACAATAAATGAATGGGCAGCTGATGTAAAATGGTTTTAAGAGAGAACAGCTTCCTGTATATTTGGCCTTAAAACCAGCAGTAATGACAGAAAAGAGCATACACTTTCAACTAATATATCTTTGAAATATAACTTTGCAATGTAACTTTGCAAGGCACAAACCACATACATTTCCACCTTCATCTTCTTTTCCTTCAAGTTAAAAGAAAAAAAGCCTAAACAAATAAAAATTCCCAAGATTCAACAACAGCATAAACTTCATGTCAGTGAACATATATCTCCTAATAACCTTCTGCAGCTCTTCTCACTGATGTAAAATTTCATGTGTCGGTGACATAACTGAATAACATGAAATGCATACAAAATGATACACAGACCAGATGTTCAGCGCTGGTTTGTCTGTTTTCTTCTACCAAAGTAACCACTACTTAAAAAGGAGACAATTTCAGGTGGCAAAAGTTGGGATATGATACACTGTAACTCTCCTGTCTTCACATGAATGCAAAATAGGAAGAATTATGGAAGAAGCTCATTAGGCGAGTGACTTCACACCCTGTAGAAAGTCACTGCCAGCATAATCCAGCCTGCCCAGTCGTTTTCTGCCCGCTACATCCCCAAGATTATGGAATTGATAAGGAGTGCGCAGCTGCTGTAATTTGAAACAACATTCTATATCTGACATGCATAAAAATACATATATGTACACTATATATATATATATTACACAGACACATACGTATGTGCACATATGTTTTTATGTAAAAGAAACATATGTCGTGCAGGTCAGCTCTGAGGCTGCTTGATATTTATAACTAAAGTAACCCCCCCCCAGAACTTGGGTTGCTGATATAGCAGTAAAAGCTGCAAATAGAATGAAATTTATCACACTGTTCTTACAGCGTACTGCATAGTTATCAGTAAAACGCATGATACGTAGTTTTATTTGTACATGTAAACAAATAATACCTGTAAATTCCTGCAGCCATTCAGAGGTCTACAGCATTGATACATTCAAAACATTCTATATGTGCCTCAGACTGTTCATTTGATTATGTAGCATTTTATTAAATGAGTTCCTGGTAATAATATTAACTGTGACTTACCCTGGCATTGGTCCATTTCCAGAAAGACTATAAACTTGACGAGGATTTAAAAGGTATTGAAATTTTCTATAAATTCTGAAGAGGTAAAAGAGATAAGGACAAAATATTTACTTGTTTGGCATTTTTAAAAAACTATTTTTTTACACATTTTAAAATTATCTGAATAATAGGAAGCAATTTATTGATATAGCATGAAAAGTGTTGTCTTACCCCATAAGGGACCCATTTGCTGTCCCACCACCTGCAAATATTTATTTAAATGGTGGAATATTTCCTGTTAATTTATCAATTTGAGGTTACTTGTCCTAAAAGTATTGCAGACATTTTGTTTCTTCATTACAAATATTAGAAGTGTAATTTCCACGTTGACTGCAATGTGGTAGCTGCTTCATTTCTTACAAAGAAACAAGTAAGTACATGAAAGTGTTGGAGCTCAGAATGAATAAATATATACCTGGGATCTATGAAAATAGTTTAAATTATAAACCCCTGTTTCTTACTTTTAATTTTAATGTTTATGCCCTCAAGGTAATTAATATTTTAATGTTTTTAAGAAAGCATTTGTTTTTCCACTGAAATATCTCTTCCTTTCTTTTTACTGCCTTAAATAAAATAGAACGATAATAAGAGCTGAATTTTAACTTAAAATGTCCACATGTTTTCAAATTCAGCAAAATAACACTGTCTAGACACAATCTATGTGCACACTGAGGAATTCTTTTTTTTTTTCCCTTAATGGTAATGCATAATTTATCAGGCTAGGTGGAAGACAAAGGTGTAAGAATACTGAATACAAACAAATTTATAATTATCTCTAAAATTGCCAAATTGGAACATTTTCTTCACTTCTCAATTATTTAGCGATATCAGCATCTCCATAAAGCATTGTATTTAAACACTCACACAATCTATTCCTGATGCCATTCCTGACAGAAAAAGTCAATGTGAAATAACTAGTTTCATTTTGCAAGCACGCACACATCATTGTCAATGGTTATGATGACAACTAAATCAGACATTTGACAGTGGCTTTACAACACAGTATATTTCCATTTCTTTTGCAGCATCTTACCAATGTAAAAGGATCCTATTTTTAACTTTCTATTTAGTATGTGTAAGTTGCTTCTCAGTGACATATAGGATTTAACCTGGTCAAAAGTGCAGTGAATTTAATTTGTGTAGCTGACCATAACGAGGTCATGTATCGTTACGAAGCCCCAAAGGCTTAAGAGTTGTTTGCCTAAATGTTTGGTGCTACAAAACATACTAGCCATTACCTACACTCACAGTCCTGTTGTCAAGTATCAGTGAAATGCTATAAAAGCTTTCTTAATCAAAAGGGAGCTAGGTATCTCTAGCCAAAACCCAGAAGTCCACCTGCAACAATGAAGAGATTACATCGAATCCTACTCAATTCACTGCATGCCATTCATAGGTACTAGTCAAACATCAATACCAGATAATCACCCTATAATGACTCACTGCAAATGAGTCATCACACTTTAAGTTATTATAACATATTTATGGATGCTAGTCTGCGTAAAATTCATAACTTGATGGTTCATCTCCATTCATACATTCTCCAAAAAAAAAAGAGGAAGAAACTGTCTATAAATGTTTGCCTTTACACTAAACTGTAACTAGACCTAAGAAGAGCATGACACATGCAAGATGAGGAAATGGACAGTAATTTAGCCTTCCCTTCCCATTTTATACCTGCAGTACCAAATAGTCTATTGATACTGATATGTCTCTGAACATCTTGTTACTGCATGTAAGGAAGGAATTGGACATGGTTTTCTTGTGACTGGAGCTTTGTGCAGAGAAAGCCGTGAGGCAAAGTAGTGGGTAAAGCCCCAAAACACAGCTTTTTGTTACAGAGTGCAATTTCTTGAACAAAGCCAGTTCATGAAATTATATCTTGTTCCCACCACCTCCAGCTGGTTCCTACAGTTTATCAACAAACAGTTGTGTTTCCATAACCATTTGTGGGGTTATTTTGTGATCTGGAAAACTGAACAGATTCAATTTAAAACACAAATCCTCGGAGAAGTCTCTCCATTGTAACTTTTTCCCCTTCACTTAAATCATGCCCATGATCTCATGTGAACCCTAAAACAGCTGCACTAGCACAACTGAGAAGGCAGGTAATTACAGCCTGAGTGGCCAAGAGGGCTGGGATCATCTTTAAACAGATCTACTGCTGAAGAAAATATTCTTGAGTGCACCTTGCGCTGAGTTAGACCAAGCTATTTTCTGAAGTCAAAAGATCATTACTTTAGAGAGAAGAAAGACAGGCAGACAGAAACCCCTTGGCGATTCAAAACTGGCAGTAAAGTTGACTACACTGGGGAAGAAGTTGGCCATAGCAGTGCCTCATGCCAATGGGGGGATGCATCTTCAGCCATCTAGGGAGTGACTCTTCAAGATGTGGTCTGTGCAGGCTTAATCTAACCTTAATGGCAGAGAAGAAAGAAGCCGAGGACTCCTCCCCAAAAGTAAAAGAATGCTTGTGATCTTCTCTCCTAGACATCCAACATTTGAAAAAGATCATTGGAAACTGCTTCCGCATTTTGTCTCAATGCTTAATGAAAGCTTAGAAAGACAGATTAATCAGAGGGTAGAAGGGAAGAGCCACTCTGAACCAAAGTTATTTGAAAACAACAAAGGTCAGATATATCATCAACCTGTACTGCAGAGACACTGAACGTGGAGTCAGCAGGAAACGTCAGTGTACGGAAGCTGATCTCCAGTGCATCCAACCGCACATTTGTCAAGGAAACAATTGTTTAAACTCACCTGCTGGTTAGGCAAATAAATTGGAAAACGGGGAAGTGGAAAACAAAGTAATGAGTATGGCAAAACAACAGCATGATTTAGAAGGACTCTTATGAGAGAAGCATTACCCTTAACAATAACAGTCTTTAGAAGCACCACATGCTTGTTGTATATTCTTTCTGATGAAAGAAACTATTTTGTCAATTATGTACTAAATATATGCATTCTATTCACAGATTATTGAAAGCTGTTGTCTTGATTAGTCAGATCTTAAACGCCAATATAAAGGACTGTTAGCTCTAGGAGGAAATGGATGCACTGCAAATTTTTTCCTGATGAAATTAACCACAACTGTCCATTTTATGTACAATCACTGAAAACATGTTATAGTGTGATATAGCCTGAGGAAGACACCTGATGGGGTTTGCTGAACTCCCATCCAGTCTCATGTTTAACTAAAATCTATTTTTGGTGTATGAAAGGCTTAAACTTATCAACATTAATTCTAATTTGCTACTTTCTTCTTAATAAACATTGAATTATATTTTTTTCTATTTTATTATAAGCATATGTATTATCCATTGTACTAAGTAATTTAAGCCCAAATAACTGTAAATACATTTAAGCTTCAGGTGATGGGCAATAAGTATTAATCTCTCCATTGAGAAGAAAGTATAACTGGGTTATTTTCATAGTTCTTTATTTTGCAATTATATCTGAAAGTCATAGTATTGTTTTTTAAGAGAGGAACCTATTCAAGTAGAACATGATATTTGTCACTACGTATATTGCAAAACTCTGGCTTTCTAACAGAACTGAAGTTTTAAAATGTATCTGTAAGGTAATTAGATATGGTTGTAGAGAAAGTATTTTTGTGTTCTCAATGCACTTTTTCTACATATCCATTTTTTCCCCCCACCCTTCTGTTCCAACATCCAAACCCCAAAACTAAGGCACCTAAATTTTTTACCTTAAAGCAATCTTCAGTTCTTTTCCTTTGCATTTGAGAGATTTGAAAAAAAAATTACAAAATACAAAAGGAAATGACAGAGTATTATTGGGAGAGTGCATTTATTCAACTGGTTGTCAGATGGATGCATACACTCTCTCCAAGTCTAAGGGCAATGAAATGGGCTGGGTTACCATATGGCAATGCATAAAGTCTCATACGGGGAACTGTGGGAACACTGGAGTCTTGACAGTATCTGCAATAACCTTTCTGTATTCAATGAAAGTCAATTAGAAATCATAACTTCATTCACCATGATCTCTCAAATACAGAAAATCCTAAGTAAAGACTAAAGAATAGCTTCCAGTAAAAGATCACCTTAATCTGAATGAGTCAAGATAATGAAATTCTCATCTACACAAATTAGTAGGTTGTGGTTTGGGTTTTTTTCCCCCTCACTGATGTGGAAATCTTACTTTTTTTACAGCTTATCCTCTACTCCTAGCCTCTTATAACCTGACCAAATTAAAAAAATCACTATAATCAAAAAGTCTGACTTGAATCAGTATAACTGTGCATTTTACAAAGTTATTTATGTCTTTGATGTTCTGTGATTTTACTTTTCACGACATAACTGCCACAAAAATAGCAGGGGGATGGGAACATGGGATTCCTCTCTTGCTGGTTACTAACTATAGAGCAGCCAGCAAAAAACAAAGAAAAGTTTAAAAAGTTTAATATTATTGTTCCCTGAAAATGTTTTCATCCCTTAGATTAAATCTTCAAGTTAATACACACTCTTATTTTATAATTTTATTATGTTACTGCTATTGATATGAAACATTAACACCTAAAAGGCAGAGGGCAAAACCCCTTCTCATAAAATAGTCCATACGCAGAAGAGTAATCCTTTTTTTAACCTTTCTGAATCTAGTTTTAGATCTAACCATGAGATATTATCTCCTGCCGGCGAATGACTTGAGATATGTCTACATGACTATGCAGTTGACCTTTTGATGTGCTCCTCCTAACACAGAAATATTGAGTGCAACCTTGACATATTAGTATGCAATTTAACATTTTATTTTGTGTGGCATCAAAGCCAATTTAAGAGGTTCTCATACTTCACTATACTCAGCTGCTGGTGGATGCCCTCATGTTATACACTTCATTGTGTAATGACACTTGTAGGTAATGGCGTTAGTGAATGAAGCGTGTATAAGGCATTCATTTTTTAAATTCAAATCATTCCTGTGATCTGCTCGGCCTCAGTAACAGTTGCATTAACATAAACTGAGACGTGTCAGACTGCAAGACGTGAATGGGAATAGGCGCTTGGGAAGGGGATCAGGTTTTAAACTTGCTTTTACTCTGGAGAATATCTAACATTAAATGACATCCCTCATGCATTAAGCCCATTCAGAGAGTAACACTTGAGACCAATTATGAGCTGGAAGCTGAAAGCTGTGAAACAGCATTTCATTAAATTGTTTCTAGGTTATAACTAATATGTAAGTGCAGCTCTCTAACCTGCCTCTCACATAATTCCACACTGGATCCCTGATCTACTCACTTCGTATCTGCACTACAAAAAAGTCAAGCTGTATGCTAGTGTGTTATCTTCCACAATGCCCCTGACTGCACAGAAGACCAGGGCTAGCTCACACCCCTACTGTGTCTGAAACATGAATGCTCATATTCTTGTGATTGCAAAGGCATGTTCTTGAAACTGTTTAGACTTAATCTTTTAGATCATGAACTGCCTTTGACACAACTAGCGTTGTTGACACCGCTGGTATCTAGGTATACCAGTCCAGGGACTACATAATCAGCTCCTAAATTATAACCTGTTCTCTCAGGGGTCTTCGAGTGCAGTTTTGGTTAAATGTGCTTCAGCTCTGCGAATTCCTCTAACAACTCCTCTGCAGGCTTTTGTCCCTTTTGTCAGTACACTTTAAGGGACACTGAAAGAAGTGATCTAACGGAGGCAGTAGGGAAGAGATAGGGAAAGCTGACCCACTTGCAGTTTACTTGCTTGGTTCTGAGCTTTAGAAACACACTGGACCCCTCCTCTTGTGCTTTTGGGTACCCACGTCACCCAGTATACAGAGGTGTCATCGTCAGCCTGATCTTGGCCAAAAGACTGTAACCTTTTTCAAGACCTGAAGGACAAATTACAGCACTGATATTGTAAGCTAGGCTACAAAAATTTGGGGATTTATGTGAAGATCAAAAATGGCCATACAGTTAGCGTCTGTGATTCTTAAGAAAAATCTGCTCAGGGTGTATCTAATTCAACATTTCTGCCTGAGTTTGATGGACAAAGTAGGAGAAGAATGCTTCTTACCTGTTTTATCATGCCTCTGATGCACTAACATTTAAACATAAACTTAAGGCATTTTGAATTTAAACCAATATAATTACTGACATATATAAAATTAAGCACGTCTTTAAAGTTTGTGTGATTGGACTTGAACTGGATTGTTAGAATGTTTCCTATCTATGGAAATCCAAAGGTTTCTTCACTGTAGGAAAATCTTACAGAAAGTCTAAATCTCACTAAGTCTTGGAAAGGCAAGTCATACATTAGAAAATGTCCAATTCAAATTGTTGGCCTGTCTGCATAATTATTACAGATATTAAAAGAAAACTGTTACAACTTCAAAGTTGCAATGCAAAATATAGCAACTCACATCTTCATGAAAATCACACAAAACCATACACTGAACATAGCTACTTTTTCTGATGTGAAATGAGACTGTTGTATAAAATCGTTCTACTTTTTAACTGCAGAATTTGTAACTATATGCTAGCGTGTATCTCTTCTAAACAGGGCAATTGGGTGTTCAAATGTGAGGCATAACAGTATAAAATGTTGGATTTCTTTTCATATATAAACTTTTAATGTTCACTTTTAAACATATCACAGAGATCAGAAGAGAGAGAGAGAGGGGAAAAAAAGATAAAATAAACCTTACCTTTCTCCTTGTTTCCCACCACTTTTAGGATTGACAAAAACTAAAAGTGGATGAGTGCCTGGAACTGGAGTGATCTAAAAGAAGGGAATAACACAGCCACTCATTAATGCTGTGTGTTGCATTCATTTTTTCCTATAGTAGACAGAAAACAAAAAGCTTAATGCAAACTCTATGTTATGCTATGTAATCCAGCTGGAAGCAATTCCATAATTTGCAATAATCCTCACTTCATTAATTTGCCACAAATTGCGATTTTTTTTTTTTTTAACGCTAGCTGTCTGTCTTACAGCTGTGATGCCATTTTAACCAATAATTCCATTGAAATATATATATATATATATGTTACACCCATCAATAGAGAAAAAAACTTTAAATGCAAGAAATGCATGACTGATTCTGGCTATAATTTCCTATGAAAAGAGCTATGAAGAAACTGTATTTTGTAGTGAGAAATGACACTCCACTATAAAGGTCAAATATAGCTATATGAAATTTTAAACTTGATGGAATATTTTTTTTTTAAGTAACAGAAACCTGCAATGTTTGATATGATATGAAATCACACACCTCTTAAAATGTAACAAACATGATCTCCTTTAAACACCTTAGAAAGCTGGAAAACTTAAAAAAGTAGTGGAGAAAACGTGGAAGAAGGACAAGCCTGAGGAAAAGAATGGAGAGGAGTAGATATTGAAGAAAACAATGACTTCTACTATGGTTTTTTAATTCTTTTGTGCATGGGAAGTTTTTCACGTTCACATTAACTTTCAGCTTTACAACCGAACACCCTCCTTCAAGGTAATAGTGTTAGTCTGCACTTTCAGATACTTTAAGACGTGAGTGTTCACTTCCTTTGCTCCATAGACTTTGAAGAACATAAAAGAGTTACATCCAATGATCTCTCTCTAATACGTTTCTAAACCATACAGCTAGTCTATCCATATTACAAAATATCGCTCTTAGACATATATCAATCCTAGAATGTTTAAAAGCATATTAAGAGTTCAAAGTCAGCATCTCCAAACTCATGCACTGACAACTTCAGAGGTGAAGAATATTTCGTATTTCTTGAAATAACAAAATCTTTTCAGCTGAAGATTTCATAAAATGTAATTTAAAGGCAGAACCCAAGAAACACAACGGCTGAGTCATACAGGCATCCTACAGGCATATAATCCTACAAGCATCTAAAAGCACTTTTCTTCTAGTAAGAAGTGTTAGACACTGGTGTGTCAACTCCTTCCATAACTTTACAAATAACGGATCCAAATCTGAACCAATATATATAAAAAATAAGGAAAAACTCCAGCAAACTCAGGGGAATTAAACCTAGCATAAAACCAACCCAGTATCACACTCTGTCACAGCATATTGCTACAGTAAAGTGCTGTATGTTGAAACATACATCAAATTGCAGGATATAGTGAAGTTTGTCATATATTTAATTTTTATCTACTGTTTTAATCAATTTTAGTTATTTAGCCAATTCCCATGATGTTTGTTCCTGTGAACTAAGTGTAAACCAATGGTGCTCATTGTGACAGAGATGGACTACCTACTAAAATCCCTTAGGACGCAGGTTAATTAATGAGACTCATCCTAAGGTTACACATGATCTATTACTTCCTCTAATTAGAAATAATAATCCTGATCATTATGCTGGTTAGCTAGAAAGAAGTAAGATGAATGTGCTTAACTATGATTAATTGTCGTTAAGTCGTGCAGATCTCCATTGCCACTAAGTTATCTGCTCACTGCTGTCTGATGGAAGGAAGGTTTGGTCTTGATGCTTTTCTCAACAAAAGCTAAATGATGAACTTATTTCTATTTTAAATCTTTTATTTCAAAACTTAAACATACTATTACAAGGTTTAGGACCATCAAAAAAATCTAATAACCAGTTTGTATTCCACTAAATTCCAAAATAAGGTCTCTTTCAATTAATTTATTACAGAGCAGTTGTGCTCACTGGAATTGCACAGATATCACCCAAGAGTTAGAAAACTCCATGTGCTTCCTCTAGCACCAGTTTATTACAACACCTCTTCACACTGTGCCTGATTAGACAGAACTTGAGCTTTCTGTCAATGAATACTCTAGCCCTTCTGCTTCATGTTCTATCTGTCACAGATGATCTGAATAGCAATGCATCCTGCGAGGTGGTAAAAACAGGAAGAGAACCTTGAAAGCCATGGATAATGATCACTGTAATATTCTACCAGACTATCAACAGAGCAGCCATGTAACTGCATATGTCTAAGAGTTTGGGGTTTTTTTCTCTTTCTCTTTGAGTTGCCATAACAAGAATGTTTCACTAATCTAAAAAGATGAAACAATAAAATAAGCCTTTCTATCCTGACACAGTAAGGTATATCACGAAATAATTATAAGGTAAATAGCATTTGATGTATGGTAATGGAATCTTTTACATTTTACTGAACCTCAACTGCAACACATCAAAAGATACAAAGAACAGTCAACTATGTATATCAAATGATCATCACATTGTTATCATGATGATCATTTAACTTCTGAGGAAATAAAGAAGCAGCATCATATACGAGAACATTGACTTTACTCAAAATTGTCATTCTTTAGGGAAAAAAGTCAAGCAGTTCAGGCAGAACTCATGCCTCTAAGTATCCTCCCTAAAATAACATTAGCTTGTCACACACACAGGTTTTTCTTTCAGGTAGAAAAAATTTCCATTTTTATTCTAGTTATCACTATTACTGAAACTACCTTGCTTCTCTCCACTCTTAATTGTGATGTGCCAAATACCCTACTTGGAAATACCTGGACAAATTGTTGACGTTTACCTCATTCATCTACTAATTAACAGGTCCAAATGAGAATGGTGAACAGTTATCAAGACTCAGATTTATAATGTAAATTCACACAATGCTGCGTGACAGATGCCAAGACAATTGAGTTCAGCTTCACCACACAACACAAGTGTTTTGGAACTAGTTTTCCCTCCCTCTTAATATCTTAGGAATTCATACCAATCCCATAAGAAGCAGATTTGCACTGCAGGATTCCTGTATGATGGAAGAATGTACCTTATTATTGTATTCTAAAATATGTAAACGTGAAATAATAGAAGAGTGCATGCATAGGAAATATTTCACTTTAAGGATTGCTCCCTATCATTGTCTTCATACACCTAGAAGTATCTCCTTAAAATTAAAAAAAAAAAAACAATAATCACACCTGAAGACCTTGTCCATCTACAGTGACGGAATTTGCTCTTTGCATTTTGTTCCGTTCTCCTAGTTTGTTCATTTGCTGTGGGCAACTCTTTTCTTTTTTCACTGTTGCCTGTCTTTCCTTGAAAAAAGAAGAGAAAAGGAGAAAATGGAACATTTTAACACATAATGTAATGCTATACAACTGTAACTGAGACTGTGCATCCACAAAGTTGTTTTTCAACTAGAAAGCAATGTCAGATTCTGCTTTAATGAAAATGAGACTCAGTCAAGTTATTACACAATGTCTGGCCACTTCACATAACATCTATCTATGTGCCTGGACATTCCATAATGACTAGGCAATAGATGGATGAAAAGTGTGCAGTCACAAAACAAATTAATGCAATGATGTGAAAAGATAATCTGACATCACCCGGATGGCATTCTGAAACTTGAAAGCCAATCATACAAAATACTGGATTGCTTAATAAGCACATTGATAAGAGATCAGTAATTGATCAAAATTGAATCCTAACTGCTAGCAAAGGTTGGATGCTTCAAGAGTACTTTACCACTTTGGCAAAATATACCAGCTCTAAATGTACCATAATCAATTGGCTGAGTGGCTTTTTATAAAATATGTATTTTGTATCAGAAAGAAACCAGAATCTACATCAGATTCTAAGCCACTGGCACCTTTTGATGCTGATAGACAGCACAATCAGATGGTTATTTGAAAAAGGAAAGCTCAGAAGTATGTTACTGTAATCATATTTTCAACTGTTGTCAGGTCATTTCAGAGAACTCTGAATGAAGGAAAAAAAACCAAACAAGCCAGTCCTTGCTCTTTGTATCTCATTTATCCTATTTATAAACTGCACCCAGCAGGTCCTTTTAGGTTGTCCAAAAATGCACCATAAATTAAGAGAGCAGATGTTTATCAAATCGAATCAGTGTCCCCAATCCCGACTGCACCCCAGTCACTTTCCTCACTTCACAAGTGTAAAGAGGCTTTAAACTAGTCAGGGGAATGGGCTGGCACAAAGCTGCTGCACTAGAAAGGAACATGAAGGACACTGCTGCACCCCCTGCAACTGCACTCAGTAAGCAGTTCATTAAATGTTACCATTTACGTTCCATACCAGGCCAAATCCATCTCTGTGGTACCTCTGAAAAAGCCTTAGGGATTACACTAGCAATTAATCCATGCCACTCTTTCTGGAGCAGTTTAAACTGGTAAGAAACACTGACACAGATTCTCTGGCAGGAAGGGAGTAAGTCCCAGCATAATACAGCGCCTTCCTCGTATTACTGTAACACAGACATGGACTGTCACTGGTTTTATACCATCTTTGGTTTCCTTAAATTTGCAGACTGACACAGCCTCAATCTAGTCCTGATGCAAACAGCGGTCCAAGTCATCCCAGGCTGCTTTGGGCAGCCAAGTGCTTTGGGGAGCTGTGGTGAACTGATCACATTTCCTATGAAAGGACAGACAAACCTATGCCGCAGAAAGAAAACAGGGGAGTCTACACTATTTCCCATATGCAGTGAGATTCCTAAGAGGTTAGTTAACAGAGCTCTTGGATGCTTTGAGTATCTTGATCAGTTCAAGAGGTGGTGCAAGAGTCTAGACTACAATATTGTTGCTTTAAAGAGAAAACAGTAAAAGCAATTAGAGCTATTCATCTCAACCCTAACCTTCAAAACACAGACTAGCACTGTCCATATCACTGCCTAAGAAATCACCAACTCTGCACTTATTTGACGATTTTTAGAAACTAGAACTAGGATGAGGCATCCAAACAGAGTAACATTTGTGAACTGACAAAAAAAACTTTAACACACAACAGTATTGGTTTAGTACCAAGGATAGAGAGCAAGAGACTTCAGTATGAAGGAAGCTACATACTTCATTACATATGTAAGAAGCAGCTTTGGGGTTTTAAACAACTTTGTGAATAACTACCCTTAAAAGTCACTACATTTATAAAAAGTAACCACACCATGTCAGACAGGATTTTGTATTATGGCCAAACCTGGCTTTTGGCTATTGCAACATCTTTAAAAAAAAAAAAAAAAAAAAAAAATCAAATCAGATATCAGTAATGCAGACACAGCCAGTAAACCCCCCTGATTTCTAACAAAATTCAGAGGAGAGAAATTTTTAAAAGTTCAGAAAAATTTTAAGCTAAACAACGTATTTGTGATAGTTCAAAGAAAAAGGTAACAGAAAAGAACAGATCTAGCACACTGAGTACATGCATTTAGAGAGGTTAAAAAAACCACTGTTCAAACAAGGCCTACTTATAAAGTGTGGTGCTAAAAATCTTGCATATATCATGCTATTACTTAGAGGAAAAGCATTTATACACTGCTGAGAATAGTCTTTACATAAAGGATGCTTACCACAGTGCCCAAACCTGCTGTTATCAATCATTCACCAGCAAAATGCATTAGCAATTACCTCAAGCAAAGTTTTGGATATGGGGGTTTTTTGGTGTTTTGGGTTTTTTTTTGTTTTTGTGTTTTTGTTTTTTTTTTTGTTCCAGCACAATACAGATAGCAGCAAATACCCTCAGCTGGCCCTGGCCCTATGACTGCTGCATCAGCAACCTTCCTTCTCCAATTTGTGCTACCTGTCCTATAAGCAAAACCATTTGCTTGACTCCCAGACAAAGACAGCTTCTCCTAAGCAGTGACTACACAAGATTAGACCACACACCTCATACAATACAAAGAAAAAACTGTATTCATGACACAGAATTGTCTACAGTGTTATTAAAAAGATCAAATATGGATACTTGACCTCATTATCATTGAAGGTCTGCTTCCTTCAATGATGATTTTTGAAGAAAGGACTAATACAGCATTTTGTGTCACCCATGTTATATACATATGATACCACAATACATGTCACCACATGTACCAACAGTGCTCTCTGAAACATTTCTGAAGAAGCTGATAGGAGATTCCAGATTTCCTAGAATTATATATCCTATAATTTTTAGATATGTGTTATACTAGAGAGGATCTGACTTACAGTTTGTTTGAAATAATATAATACATGTATCTTAATTCTACTGAATAAATCTATTAGTGGAACACAAAAAGAGTTGCCAGTTTATAAAAAAAAAAAAAAAATCTCTTTTAAATGTTCTTGCACAGATACTTTGTTTTATATACAAAATAGAAAGCTGGCTTTCTAATCCAGTCGTACATGACTGAATAACTTACTTTCAGGAACTGTAACATTACTAAGCTATTCAAAAGTGTCAGTAACTAAACAGTGTCATTTTTTTATGAGATAATAACAGTTTAATAAAATCACCTGTGGATAATAGTCTACAAATTGTAGCAACGTTAAGACAAATTTGACATGCATTGAATAAATGGTTTTACAAAATGCAAAAATTTATTTATCCGGGTAAGAAATGTTTCTACAACAGCTGTGCTGTATTTAATATCTTGTTAATTCAAGCATACAAAATGATAAATGTATCTGTGAACCATTTTGTTTAGTGGGCATGCATGAGGTTGATAGAGATACTGAATACAGCATTTTAAAAGCTATTGTACATTTTGATGGCTCCAAGAATCAAGCTTTTCTGTTCTTTTGGTATGTGCCGGGGCACTTATGTTTCAAAATAGTACTTACCACAACAAATTTTTTTTTCCACCCATTTTTTGCACCTCTCATGCCTTCTTTTCTCCCCTTGAACTCCCACTTTGAAGACAATATCTATTAACTGGAGCTACTACCATTCAGTATTGCTCCAGAGAAATCACTGTCAGATAAGAACTATTCAATTGTATCTGTCTCTTATTCATCCAAATAAGAAAAAAAAGAACTGATAAATAAGACAGGGCCTTTCAAATGCCAACACAGAATACCATGTCTAGGTTTTTAGTTCAGCCCCAAAATGCACTTTTATAGCAAGAAGAATGTACAATATCATGATCCGTTAGTACTTGTGTGTACATGGATGCCTCCCGTTACGCACCTCAGGGAGCAAACCTCCTAAAGTGGGTAGCGTCTGTTGGAAGAAGAGAATGTTAGACTGCAACACCGAACAGCTGGGAGGGCAAGGGGCATGGAGAGAGCGTTCACAAGAAACGTTACCTTCCAGCAGCTGTGCTTAACAACAAACGTACACGGTGCTTTTTTACATATTTGCACAAACGCACTCCCCCAATGTTTTGCCTGTCACATTATATAATTTATATTCTGGGAAGTATGTGTGGGATCATTTTATCACCAGCTAAAAATATTAGAAAACCTGAGGACTATAATCTTTCAAATAGTAAAGAGAGATGCTTGGTACCTGGGGAGTATTCTTTTTATTTTATCTTTCAAGTCCTTGAATCCTCATCCAAAGCAAGGAATCTTATTTAAAAAGCTTTCTTCTAGTACAATTGACAAGCTATACAACATTCATCCTCAAAAAGTATTTGTACTCTTTCTTTACAGTCTTTTCCTTTACACAAAATACTGACATTAAGAAATAGCATACTCTATCATAGCTGGTATAACAGATTAATAGTAACTAATGGCTTACTAAGTAGTTACCTCTTTACATTTTAACTGCTGACACAGAATCCAGGGCCAATTCAGCATAAATTGCTTTTTCTCACCTTGTCTCTTAATCAATAAGTGCAAATGTATTTTTCTGGATTATTTCATACACAACTGAGATTATTTAAAACAATTTTTTAGACATTAGACAACAATTTATTCATTTATACATTAAATAGGATTGTAAAGCCATTAGTGAGTGGTTAATACCTTTACACAGTTTGTCAAGTAAGGCTTGAAAACTTCTGTATGGTAATTACCTCTTTTATACTATATGATTTCAGACGAGGCATATACCCTAAAGCCCAGCTCAGGGATGGGGGTGCATAAGGAGAGAACCATATTCTATGTTAATATGCATAAACTGAAACAGTTATTAAAAAATATCTTATTTTAGACCTCTGGAACTTGAGATTGAAAGATACTGATCAGGGAAATCTGGTTATGCAAGATCAGATGGAATGCACGGAATACCGTGCAAGGGTATCCTCAAATGTTTGCAGGATGAAGGCCATGGAAGTTTAAATATGTGACTTGAATACCAAACTGATGCTTTAGGGTTTTTTTAAGGAACTTGGAGGAAGGTTGCTCCATGATTTCTTAGTGCTATTTTGTTTAATGACATGGGAATCTCCAAGGGATGCAAAACCTTTGCATTAATACACAGTGAAAAATTAGAATAGGTACTCCTAGACTGTCATTTTGTAAACCTATATTGTATTCAAGACCTTGCTTAAAAAAATTCAATTTAATGCAATTTCTGTCCATAGTTACACAATAACCAAAGAGAATCAAAGATTCAGACACCCTGAAAACTGCAAAAACACTACCACCATGATGCCAAAACCCTGGGGAGCAATCTACCTGCAATATCTATTAGATATCACATCCAACTAACTATGATTTAGCTCTGCAAAAATATTTTGAAAATTTACTTTATAACATTTTTTCCTCATTTCCAGCTCTAACCCTGTGTACATACTAATCAGAAGGTCCAATATTAGGACATCACATGCTGCCTTCAAAGCTCACAGAGCTGTAGCATAAATCCCAGCTCTACATTCATGGGCTGAAGCTAAAAGTCATCCCGTGGACAAGATTAGCAACCAATTCACTAGCAAAAATACTGTCCAATGACCTGCGCATGCCCATATTATAGAAGAAAGGTAAGGCTTCTACTTTATCTGAGAGCTGTCTTGACAGAAACATTTGCTTCTGCTAAAAAAAAAATAAAAATAATCAAATTATATCAATCAGAATGAGGTATTTTGTCACCCATAATACTAGTAGCCAAAATACATGAGAAATACAATGCTGGAATGGAGACGATGTCATTTGAGAATACCTTCTGAAATAGCTGACCACAAGACTGTTCTGAACAAGGAATCGCTATATGATAACTTTATATATATACACACACACACATTATTTAAATTGTTTAATATGTCTTAATAAAGGTGTAAAGAATTACACACCAAAATCACAATGAAGTATTTCTCATTTAGTGTCTTGGCCTTAGTTCATTTAGTTGGCTGAAGATAACTCGCCTTGTACCCATTCAACATATGCATCAACATACACCAACAGTAGGGCTCAAGACTTCTAATTTAATTTGCAACCTAAAATGGATCTGAGCTATAGCAGGCAATTATATACATCATCCAAAAAAGACCAAAGAGTTGGAAAAGAATTTTGAAAATAAAAACATGTTTAACTCCGATGAGAGAGGATGTAAGGAGTGAACTTAGGAATGGACAGTAGTGATGAGTTGTGGGCAGGCAACTAGGTATAACTTAAAATGATTGAACGGCTGCCATTTCAGTTTATCAGCATCTTATTATTTTAACATTGAACTGTGTTTGCCGAGCAGATAATTAGTTAGGAAGATACATTTTCCTCCAGGGCAATTATTAATTTCCTTCTGACTTCAAAGAAATGAAAAAGCTCTTAGTGTAGATAAGCACACCATTATATTTCAAGTCTGTTTTAGATTCTCAGAGAACTGAATCCACAATATGATAAACAACTGAAAAGGAAAAAGGTGTTTTGTTTTGGTTTTTAAATCTGTTTCAATTGCTATGTCATTACCTAACATTCAACAACCAGACTTAAATTCCCCCCCATAGAAGCACATGTATTCAAATAAATGCGGGTTTTTTATAGTATCTTGTTCAGAAACTCAGAATAAGGCTAGTACTCAACTACAAAGGATCAAGTTGCTCATACAAATGCTTACACACTGCACTGACTTTCTGCGCTCTATGTCGAGGTTGGATTCAACTGAGTTAAAACTGATCTCTACTACAATAAAACCAGAAGTATCATTTTAGGATTAAAAACTGGCAAAGGGGTTAAGAAAGCTCATTCTTCAACCAGCTACTGCTAATTCCCTTTTTCTCTTTCTACATCTCTTCTTTCTTATGTGAGTAACATCTACCTACCTCACAGGAAAATAGAGTCACAGAACGCTTTAGGTTGGAAGGGACCTTTAGAGGTCATCTAGTCCAACGCCCCTGCAGTGAGCAGGGACATCCTTAACCAGATCAGGTTGCTCAGAGCCCCATCCAACCTGGTCTTGAATGCTTCCAGGGATGGGGCCCCCTCTACCTCTCTGGGCAACACCTTCCAGTGTTCCACCACCCTCATTGTAAAGAATTTCTTCCTTATATCCAGTCTAAATCTACCCTGTATTAGTTTAAAACAATTACCCCTTGTCCTGTCACAGCAGGCCTTGCTAAAAAGATTGCCCCCATCTTTCCTATAGGCTCCCTTTAAGTACTGAAAGGCCACAATCAGGTCTCCTCACAGCCTTCTCTTCTCCAGGCTGAACAAGCCCAACTCTCTCAGCCCGTCCTTGCAGAAGAGGTGCTCCAGCCCTCAAATAATTTTTGTGGCCTTATAAAAATAGTATTAGTAAAACATTCTCCTGGCTTTGGCTGGGATAGAGTTAATTTTCTTCACAGTAGCCAGTATGGGGCTGTGTTTTGGATTTGTGCCAGATAACACAGGGATGTTTTCGTTACTGCTGAGCAGTGCTCACACAGCATCAAGGCCTTTTCTGCCTCTCACCCCACCCCACCAGCGGGCACAAGAAGCTGGGAAGGGGACACAGCTGGGACAGCTGACCCCAACTGACCAAAGGGATATTCCAAACCATATGATGTCATGCTCAGCATATAAAGGTAGAGGGGGAGGAAGAAGGAAGGGGGGGGGAACACGTTCAGAGTGATGGCGTCTGTCTTCCCAAGTAACCATTAAGCGTGATGGAGCCCTGCCTCCCTGGGGATGGCTGAACACCTGCCTGCCCATGGGAAGCAGTGAATGAATTCCTTGCATTGCTTTGCTTGTACGTGCAGCTTTTGCTTTACCTATTGAACTGTCTTTCTCTCAACCCGTGAGTTTTCTCACTTTTACTCTTCTGATTCTATCCCCCATCCCACCGGGGGGGAGTAAGCGAGAGTCTGTGTGGGGCTTAGTTGCCGTCTGGGGTTAAACCACAACAAACATATTATCAGACATGGAAAAAACTTCTATAGAACTATGTTGCAATTATAACACAGCCATTAGCTATTCTATGTAGTCTCTCTAAATACCAAACATTCTTGTACAATATTTTCAACTTTAACTTCTGCATTACTTTTTGCCAGTACCTCAACACACTTGCTATATTTACACAAAAGTTTGAAGCTACAGAACATAATGTATATTGTTTAGTTGCATAAGGCACATTACTTAGCTAAAACATTATTAATCTGCTGTGTATATTGTATTACACGGCTAAATAGAACTAGCTATAAACAAAAAAAAATTGTAAATATTTATGTTCTTGTACAATAAAATGCCAACCCAAACCCAAATCATATACATCTGTTTCTTCCACCAAAATAAACAGATGTTTATATTTTAAAATAAGAGGTCAAATGAATTCAAGTGACAATTTTTTTATATTAGATGTATATTAACACATTTACTCTATGATGTATACAAATTCTCTCTATTTTATATATACTGAATTATCTCTCTAGATATACTCTAGATTTATATAAGTAGAATTTATGCTTAAATGATTTTGTCCTAGAAAGTTATACACATCTTCACTAGACAAAAGAAAAGCCAAATTCATTTACAAGAGAAAAGAAACCTGTGAGTTGTTCCAAACTTTTTATCATGATGACCAATTTGTCCCTGTAAGTAAGTTGAAACACAAGGAAATGCATCTAATTTTAAATTATTTCTTTCACTTCTTTTCTTCAATATTACACCAGATCCTTCCCCTGTGAAATAAACTTGTTACTATGGAGACAGTGATAACTGCCATGTAGTAACGCTCACACCGTAATCAGGGTATCTTCTGTTTTACAATTTATTCCATAATTTTCTTTTTATGCCACAATTAACAGTTTTAATTATAATTTTCAAAACTGGTACTAGAAATTAAGTAAAAAATAATTCATTGTAAAACTCACATAAACATTAGGAGACTCAAAATCATCATATATTATGAAATAAACATATATATATTAAATAGTAAGCCTTTATTGGTTGATTTGTCATTATCCAAGACTATACCTATTTCCACAACAAACATATTATCAGACATGGAAAAAACTTCTATAGAACTATGTTGCAATTATAACACAGCCATTAGCTATTCTATGTAGTCTCTCTAAATACCAAACATTCTTGTACAATATTTTCAACTTTAACTTCTGCATTACTTTTTGCCAGTACCTCAACACACTTGCTATATTTACACAAAAGTTTGAAGCTACAGAACATAATGTATATTGTTTAGTTGCATAAGGCACATTACTTAGCTAAAACATTATTAATCTGCTGTGTATATTGTATTACACGGCTAAATAGAACTAGCTATAAACAAAAAAAAATTGTAAATATTTATGTTCTTGTACAATAAAATGCCAACCCAAACCCAAATCATATACATCTGTTTCTTCCACCAAAATAAACAGATGTTTATATTTTAAAATAAGAGGTCAAATGAATTCAAGTGACAATTTTTTTATATTAGATGTATATTAACACATTTACTCTATGATGTATACAAATTCTCTCTATTTTATATATACTGAATTATCTCTCTAGATATACTCTAGATTTATATAAGTAGAATTTATGCTTAAATGATTTTGTCCTAGAAAGTTATACACATCTTCACTAGACAAAAGAAAAGCCAAATTCATTTACAAGAGAAAAGAAACCTGTGAGTTGTTCCAAACTTTTTATCATGATGACCAATTTGTCCCTGTAAGTAAGTTGAAACACAAGGAAATGCATCTAATTTTAAATTATTTCTTTCACTTCTTTTCTTCAATATTACACCAGATCCTTCCCCTGTGAAATAAACTTGTTACTATGGAGACAGTGATAACTGCCATGTAGTAACGCTCACACCGTAATCAGGGTATCTTCTGTTTTACAATTTATTCCATAATTTTCTTTTTATGCCACAATTAACAGTTTTAATTATAATTTTCAAAACTGGTACTAGAAATTAAGTAAAAAATAATTCATTGTAAAACTCACATAAACATTAGGAGACTCAAAATCATCATATATTATGAAATAAACATATATATATTAAATAGTAAGCCTTTATTGGTTGATTTGTCATTATCCAAGACTATACCTATTTTTGTGGGAAATAGAAAAATCTAATTATTTTCCACAAAAATAAATACGTCCTATGTGTTCATCAGTAAACGAGCAAAGTAAAGGAAGCCGTGAAATAAAGAAGCCAAAACGTACGTAAACATTTCCCCTTTCTGCCTTATAAAGGGGCGGGGGGAGAGAAGCTGTATCATAAGGAGAGACCAATCTTTTTTCTTCACTACTCACTCATCTCATTCCAATACCCAGTTTTTAACCTGGTTATGATCTAATTCTGTACTCTTGGTAGGCTAGGATTCAATTGAGTTAAAGATTTTTAAACTCACTGCCAGTCAACCTTATCATGAACTTTCATTATGTGCATGTAATTAATTGGGTCCAATGAACAATATCAGCACTGAGTTATAGACTTTTTCCCCCCACCATATAATTAGAATATAATTACCCACAGGATATCAGAATGATGCAAAACCTTTCCTCTAAATGTGCCCTCATTAGGAAACAAGTCTCAATGTACATTTATTCAATCAGTATGAATTAATTAAAACGTTACCGAAATAAAAGAGAGTAACATTAAAGTGTATCTGACATCTATTAAAAGACTATCACTTGAGATCTGCACACACAGTTTATAACAAAACTCATTTAACTTGAACAAAAAAACTTCACCGTACAACAAGCCTTATATACAGTAAACAGAAAAGTAAAAAGGACTAGTTCTAAAGTTGACAGACTACCTTTTAATAAAACATTTAAAAGTATTGCAGTGAGATACGGAAAATCTTTATATGGCATTGAATCTAGACAGATACATGATTCTTTCATTCTATACACAATATCAACTCAATGAGCTTCCCCATGGTTTCTTTTTGAGCTGAGAATATAGCTTATCGTATTTTGGAGTAACGTGACAAGTTCCATTTTGCGCCATTTTGAAGATGTGAGCCCTCTTGTTTAACCTAGACCGGTCTTCTAACTTGCAGATGACCAAGCACCTAGGTTATCTCTCCATCCATTAAGAGAAGGGACAGTATGAGAGGATCATACCAGTGACTCTATTTTAGAGGAATGTCTCTTGTGTCTAAAGAGACCCTAAATGAGTAATTTAGAACAGTTACCTGAGCTGAGATGGCTATGTTTAGGGGGGAGAGAAATGTCACCCTTTGTGATATTACAATCAGGAATGGTAGGTTTTTTTCTTCACAGTTGCAGCCCTGATTTTGGATGTCAATGGATACCTAGGAAATGGAAAAACTGAGAGCATATGGACCTGAACAACAAATTGCAGCTGAGACACCAGTTTGGTAGCTCTGGTATAATACATGGTGCTGTGAAATGCAATGAAAAAATTCTCTTTATTTCTGCAGAAAGAGTTGAGGCTGGACTTCACAAGGGCTGAAGAAATGAGACATGCTGAACAAGGAAGGTAAAAATATGTATGTTCTTAGTTCTGTAAAAGAAAAGATGAGAAGGGATTTAGCCTGTACTCTTGAAGGAAGACTTATGAAAAGGCATCTTGGTCTGAGATGAACTCTGACAGTTTTCTGGAAGAAGTCTGGACTACCAAAGTTACAGGTGGAAGGGAGGGCCAAAACTTTTGGGAGATAAAAGATACAAGATTTTTCAACTTCCTCTTTTCCCACAACTCCTATAACTTATTTATGAGAGAAGGAGATAGGTTCTCTCTGATACCTCAAAATACTCAAGGATAAACCTGGTACAGAAAGCATTGTGGTTATCTGCTTTTCTTTACCTTCCACATATATATAGCACCACAAGAATATTATTATTCAGCTGATCACTGAAGCTAAAAGCATGTTCTATAGGTGAAAGACCCGTCCACTGTCAGGTATATCAGATTTGATATGTCTGAACACATAATTTCTATTAGCAGACACACTTATTATTGTAACTTTAGACAATTTTGACATGGATATATGTAAACATTCACTGGGTTCGCTGTCATTTTGAGAGTGCTGGTTTCATACACGTGGAAGTATTATGTTTCTCAAAAGGAATCCCCATAACAGGAAATGGGAGAAACTAATTCAAAAATTACTAAGACAAATAATATGTACACTGTAAACAATCATTTCTATGAGGAATTCTTATTAGCTAGGTCACCAATGTATTATTTGTAACATTAAGTAGACTCAAGATTTTAATGCATTTTTGGAAGAAACTACTAGATGAACAAATATACTACAAAATTATAAAGTTCCCATTAAATTACAGTAAAATATATTTTCCATTCCTAACAATATACATTGTGCTGAAATACATGTTTTAAGTTACATTATTAGTATGTAATACTGAAACATGATTCTGACACAGGAAAACATATTTACTTCTGCTTATGCCTTCAATATTTGCAGATAAAACAAACCTATTCAAGGGTGATTTGGCTCTAGAGTGGTTTTATATATCCTCTAAACAACTTAACTAAACTCCAATTGTGGAATGAAAATCTTAATTCCTCTATCCCTCTTCCTCTCCTGAAAAGAAAATGGAGTTACGCAAATATAATTGAAGATGAAATTTCATGCTGAGGCTTTATTCAGTTTGTAAGAATGGCAAATAATAAATAACAATAAAACAAACACAGTCCAATAACAAAATCATAATTTCTACGTTAGATTTTAAAGTATGACCTAAAATCCTGAAAATTAAATAATGTAATGCAGAATGTAATCATCCAAGAAACTTAAAATAATATTTTACAATTATTGTTCAAAACTTGTCTAGGTAATATCAAAATACTATTACAGTCAAACTACAAAACTACTCTTATAACTTTTCAAAAATATTAAAAAATATTCCATAAATATTAAAGCCAGTTTTCCATTGCTTTACCTTCATTGTCAGCAATGGAATAGTCCCAGTTTACTCAAGTAGAGGGCCAAAGTCTAGCATCCATCCCTTAGCAGATTTATAAACAAACAGCCAAAAGGATTAATCAGAAAACAAGTAATTTACAATAACCATGAATATTATTCTTAATGATCAGAAACAGGTTTAAGATTAGAAGGCATATTTTCTTGATTTTCCTCCCTGCAATAAATCATTCTTTCTTAAGTTCAAGCGTTTCTTACTCTTATTATGAAACGTACCTAAGGTAAGAGGACCACACATCTGTTCTGTTACGAATATGATGATGCTATAACTTTCATCAGCATAAAATATCCAATTTAATATATTAATACATAAGTTAATTCCGAAGCTCTTTTTTCACGATAAACTGGTCAGCTCTTTTCTATAACACCTACACATAGCATGCATTTATATTTTCATTGAATTGAGTTATTGTTTTTGTGGACAGAGAAATTTACTGTCCACGACTGCAGAATAAAATATACCATAATGTTGATGCATAGCTTACTGCAAGACCAGTGTCATCATTCTAGGTAACCTCCGGCTTAGATCAGAGACCTCAGCATTGCAGATATACAATATGCATCCCAAGCAAAAACTGTCCATAAGAATAACTTCATTATTCTGGGAAGCTGGATCTATAAAAGATGTAAAATGTAGAAGTGTTCTGCCTATACAGTTTCTGGTAAGTACAGTCTGAGTAAGTGATAAAACCTGAGTCAGCTTCAGTTATAATATGCCCTACAGAAAGCTCATTCTTACATGAAGGAAAATGCAATATACAGAGCATAAAGCACACTTCTGCCTATAAACTCATCAGCCAGTATTACCCATTGTGTTTAAGTTCACACAGTTCTGTGAATTTAACAAATACTCTGGCAGTCAGTCCCAGCATCGTTTTAGCCGTTACCTATGACAGAGGATTACATATGAAATAAACATACGGACAACTCACCAATACTACTGGGCAAATTGATGTGGGTGGCAAAATATGGTCCTTCAAAGGTCCACAGTCACATTCAGGTTTTAGATGTGAAGCACATTTGTTATGCAACTACAGGAAGACAGAAAATGAAGATTCAACTTAGACATTTTACTACTACAGTCTAAGAAAATGGGTATCCTAGAATGGGGTGAGTTTAATTAACCTTATTATTACTAGAGTACTACAAGGAAAACGAAATTGCACATGTGGTCCAGCACAAAATGAGAGCATTGCATGGCAGTACAGTAACATCAGCATAGTGTCATTGGTGATCAAAACCTTCATTTCAGAAGACAGCTTCTTGCACTGAGCCAGGAACTTCTGTTCTACTACTAGTGGGAAATCTGGGGTAATTCAGGGCAGCCTTTGGCATTATTGGTATAAGTCTCCTTCCTACCTGAAGCTGATAAAGTCACTACTGATTCAATTGCAATCCTGCAATATTTATGAAAATATATATGAAATATAAGAGAATAATGTAGGAATATCTAAGAGCTTTAAGCTATACTAGGGAAATGTTGGTCTTGATTGAATGAGTGTTCAGGTTTCCATTGACTGCTGAGGAACGTGAATTATTCTCCTTTTTCTACTTCATTCACCCAATTTTCCTGAAAGCCATGAGAAGAGTTCTACTCTAAAAACATGGAAAGAATATCCTCGGGTCTGCAGACTGAAAGAGCATTGGCTTACTTCTGTATTGTTAAAAAGATGGAAGAGAAAAATGTGTATATAACATCAACATAAAATACCAACAAATAATATTTATCGAAGTATTTTGCATTAGGAATCAAGAGTTCTTATTGATATTTTAGTATTTAACCCAATTCAAATGTCTCTAAATAAAATATTTCAACATATATATCCAGCAACACAGTACAAACGCGTAATTGTGTGCCTGGATCATGCAAAGCATTCATATTTAATCGGTATACTTCACAATATTATTAGAGATAGCCACAATAAAATACAACTTCATATTGTGAAATTTGGTGAAAGTATATTATTTTGGACTCGATCTTAAAGGTCTTTTCCAACCTAAATGATTCTATGATTCTATTTCTGCACTGATTCAATAGACTGCACATTAAGTTCTTCACGTCACATGCATTTCCCATAGAGGTAAGTATTTTATTTTTTTAGAAGATATGCATATTTGCATTAAAGAAAAATAATAAGGATAATAAATACTGGAAATCTTGAAGTAAAATTCTTATTTAACAAGTGATTTAACTAGTATAATAGGTAGCACACAGCATTAGTTCAACAGGTTCAATAGCTGTTATAAAATCTGTAGTCCAATGTCTGCATCTGTAAATCACATTTTCCAATAACTTACTCATTTTCCTTTAGATGATTTAACTATGTCAGTATGAACTCTATTAAAATTACAATAAAATTGTACCAGTTGCTGATGTATATAAACTTTACTGGTAATATGGTTTTCATAAACTTATCTGGTACAGTTAATGTTGACGTAACATTTCTGAATTTTGAACTGAATGGCACCTAATATTAGCCTTGTCCATATTCATTTATACTGCAAAGTTACCTTTTCAGGCAGTTACTTAGCAACAGAAAATAAAAGTCTAACGAGTTTCGATTTACTCTGAGTATTAAAGCCTTATTGTGAGGGTATTTTGGTAGCCCTGTAATCTAAATCATTTGTCATGCTAATTCTCTGCCTCAGTGGTAAGGCTACTTGTACCATAATTAATGCACACCAGGCCATGTTACATCAAATAGAAGTATCTTCACACATTCAGTGGTAATTAGCAGCTTTGCTACTCGGTGGCATGCAAACTTATCTATGTAAAAAATAGCTTAATCTTCTTATTAGTCTCTGCTGATCTTTGACAACAGAATTGGTGCATAGCAGACAACAGAAATGGTAGAAGACACGTAGCTTTCATTAAAGTAACATTTTGACACAATGAAATAAAATAAAATGCATCTCTTCTCAAAAAAAAAAAATGTTCTAGATGATTTTAAATACATTTCCCCAAAATTCCCTTACCCCAAACCTAGCTCATTTAGAATATTGCCTCCCTCACAACCAGATGCCTGGAAAGTAGGAAAAAAACGTATTTGCTGGAAAAAAAATGAGGAAAAAAACTTTTACAAGACTAGGGTAGAGAACTACAGAGTATATGGAAGAGGGAATCATGGGCCTGGCTGACAACTCAGTGTAACAAACAAGCCTCCTTAGTGAAAAACATCTTTAAATTTGGGGATTTGATTCAGTTATTTGACATTAGAAGTGACCCTACTAAGTTGTAAGAAGGAGAGAGATTTCAAATGTATGAAAGAGGTTCAGAATTAGTTACATAATAACTAGCATCTTCTTATATTACAAAAATATGTCAGCAGCAAGCCCTAAGAGCGTATGAAGGATCTGATGATAATTACATAACTTCAGAATATCTATTAAAAAATCAATTATCTGTTAGAAATTTAAAACACTGTTATTACTATTAGCAAATAAAGTTATTGCAATAGAATACATAGAATACACAGAATTGCAGGAAAAGAGAATAGTAGTACATAGAAAAATAAATAATTTGCAGTATTTTCAAAACTTTTAAAAAATACTAATTTTTCACTTATGTGTCTAATTTACACCTGGAGCCATAAAAATGAAATTAAAAGATTAGTAGTTATTTTGAAAACACAATATTACTTTTACAGAAAATAAAAATCTTTAAATTACTGATGGAAATACAATTGAAAAACTGTAAACCTCAGCGCCAACATTTTCAATTTTGGCTGTCAAAAAAATAAGCCAATTTTTAATCGGAATTTTGATGGCTATTTAAGCATTTAAATATGCACACAAGCACCTAATGTTTTCAAAAGAATTTAGCCTCTTCCTTCACAGTGATTTCAATGAAAGATCATTCCTCAGTGTTTCCTCAGTGAACATCATTCTTATGGAAGTCCTCTAAATCTTGACGTGTATCTTCAAGAAGTAAAAGGCCTTTACAAATCTGGTCCAGACTCACATAAAATAATGGGAAAATATTTTTTCTGAGGAGCTACAGAGTTTGCAGCTTCCTATAAATTTAACAGGGAGCCTTACATAATGTGTATTTCTTGAACGATATACTCCTATTATACAGATGTAAACACTTCTAGATCTAGAGCCAAACACTCTAATTTACCTATCTAAACACAGATAGCCATTCCCTAAATTTAATTATCTGCATGCAAAAATTTTGGATTGGGTGTTTTACTCTCTACATGAATTATCCAAATTTTGACAGCAATCTGGACTACATATTTGCTTTCTTCTAAAATATTGGGTTTTAAGTAATCATAACAGCTTATCACTGAAAGTATCCTGGATCTATTTTCTCTGATCATGTTTCGTATTTTGTATTCTTGTGTTAAGAAAATATGTCATAAAACATCCAAACTTGTATGTTGAAAACAAACATTCACTAATGCTTCAGTCTCATATTATTATTTAAAACACTGAACAAACAACTGCTGTTCCATAACAATAACAATAATAATAATGATATCAGCAAAAAAGCAAAAATCCTATAAGAAGGCTGAATCTCTCCCCATTTAGATTTAAATCCTGCCCTGGCTAGGAACAGAAATACTGGCATTGCTCCTTCTAGCATGAAGATCTCACTTATAAGGGCAGTGTTCCTTGAATGTCATCATATATTAGACTTGGTGCACAGATTCGTATATTATCAAGATGTCTCTGGTATTATTCCCAGACACTTGAAATCACTGTATCCTACCAGATGTCCTCAATTTCATTTGCCTGTCAGTACACCACAAATTAGGATTTTGCCCTATTGTCACAGTGACCTTGACTTTCCCCAGTACTGCAAACTCTTTTATAATCTTTCTGTAATGTAGATTGGGAATTCTGCTCTTTAGAATGACATATATTATTTCCATTTGCATATTGTCTTAAAGCAGAGTACACCTTTAAGTATATTTGCTTGCAACAATTAAGGACTCCTATGAATATTCTGCATATGCTGTTTCTTAAACACACACTAACCATTCCTGATGATAAAACTGAATGAGAATTTTTGTACTATGAGGCTATAAAAAAGATATGTGGATTTTTGACTCTCTGACCTGTGCCAAAGGTTCTACTATAGTATACTTACTGTGATCTGACACCAAACACAGTGAAGTCCAGTCAAACCTTGGTAACATTTTATAGTTTTGTGACACTTATCGCATTTTGTTGGACAATTTCCTTCTACCCAGAAATGGTGCATTACCTGCAAAAAAAAAAGTGTGGATATACATAGAGGTAGTGGATTAACAGATGCATGGCAAAGTTAATGCTGCCCCAAACTTACATCAGTATTCTTTTTGGACTTCACGTATGTTTTGATGCAAGATGCGGGAGCTCTTGAGACACAGCGTTCATGGACTGTATACTTGCAAACTGAAAAAAGAAACACATTAATAGATGTTGAGGCAATGGTGTTTCTGACTACATTTTTATGAAACAAGTAACGTTACCAGCATGCCATCTCCATATAATCAATCCAATCAGTCAATGAAAACTCAAACTAGACTGCTTTTTCCATGGAATACAAAAGGGCAATTAGAACAGGAAATATTATGCAAGTGAGAAATCCAAGAATACACTATCATTGCATAACAGGAAATGCTTAATTAAATCAGAGCTCACTAATTTTTTTTCACAATAATTCCCAAATGACAAATATATTAAAGACAAATTGATGACTGCCAAATGGTTTGGTGTCATTTGCTAGTAGAAAGAAATCTATATTTTACAAACTATAGGCATGAGAGCAGCTGGCAAGCACAAAAATAAAAGCCAATGAATTTATGTCATTCCTTCTATTGATTTATAAATCTTAAATGGCTGATTAGTCCATTTTCAGATAGCAATTGTTTTCATGCATTCCATGTAATCACCCCAACTTTAACTCTTACTTTCCCAATACCAACTCCTGAGAAGCTTTTTTTCCTAGCCCCTGCACACCAGTTTTGGGTAACTACTATCATTGACCAGGTCTGTAAAGACACTAGCTGCATTTGGAAAACATACAAATGTCAGGCTACAATGCAAAGCTCTCCTGACTTCAACTATACAACCGTGCCTAGATGAGGAAATAATGCTACAGCTTATACCTGCATTCAATAGAGTCAACTATTAAAAACTGAGAATGAATTTCTCCCTGCATGGTATATGTCTCACGCTTTTGACCTCAAGAGCAATTAAGCACAAAGTACTTCTAAACACCTTGCTTGCACCTATTACACAAACCCAGTGGGAGGTGCAGCCATTAATCAGACAAACTGCAGGGAGTAACATTGTTGATTGGACCATGGAGGGATGGTGAGGCCCCCTGCAGTTTCCTTTTTTTTTTTCCTCCCACACAATCTAAAATGCAAATAATGAAATCTATAGCAATGCTTTGAAAATATATTGTAGACGAACCTTTAGCGAGATAAGGAAATAGTGTAATAGTTTTGTAAGTAGACTCATGCCCTTGGCCGCATGAAGTAATTGAAAGGAGCAAGTGGATGTTCTTCAGATAATCTGGGACCATTGTTCTCACCACATAAATGCCGAGCACAGTAATAAATAAATTTTAAAGAGGTACATTGCAGCAGAGAAAATTACAGCTCCTGTAAGGCTGTTCTTTTTGGCGCAGTTTACTCTATATAACTCATCTACACACTTCTGGTAACTACTGAAGATGATGATCTACATTATTTGCCCAATAGAATTTTCTCTTTCAAACACACAGGGATATTATATTTCCCCACAAGGAAGAATCAAAGAATATTATAGAATGTAAGATTTCAAGATCTAATAGTCAATTCAGCATTTTATAGATATATATATTTATATATATTTTTTTTTCCAGTTACTGTCATCAGCATATATTAAATTGAAGTTACGCACTTTCTATTTGTTTGAATTTTAATAAATGTATCTCTCTCCTTCCATAGTATTGTGAATGAAATTATATGATGTGAAAAAACATTAGGTGGAGGACTTAGATCTGAATTATGTTTTAAGGAGATCTGTGGCCCACAGAGAAGAGAGAAATGGTCGATTCCAAACCCCTCATTTATTCAGACTAATCTCAAATTAAATCAATACAACTGTACAGGCAGAAAGGTCCTGATCAGCTGTGATGGGCTATCTTTCATACCAAAAATGGAGAAAGTGAGTTACACTAAGAAACTGATTAATTTATCAAAAAGAACAATGAAAGGTGACTTGATACCATCATGAGGAGAATACAGTGGGTACTAAAGAACTCATTAATCTAATGGAGCAGGGCATAACACGAACGAATCACTGGAACCGTCTACCAGATATATTCAAATCAGAAAATAGGTCTTAAAAAAAGATGATTAATCATTGGAACACACCACAAAAGAAAGATATGGATCATCCATCTCTTGAAACATTCAAGCAGAGACGAGGTATCTTTTGGCAAGATTTGTTTTCAAAGATGCAGGTCAAACACAGATTATTAGAAGATACATAGATATAACTCAAGGAATTGAACGGTAGTAACTGCATTTAATATTCTAATGAAGGTCAATTTAGATGCAATAGTTTTTCTGTGTTCCATTACCTTAAAATCTATAATCAGTTAATATGTGAAAGGATGGCAAGACTGAGATCTACGATTACAAACCAAGTAAGCACACAAAACTTCAGAAGTGTTACAGAAATTTGATTTCTGGGAAACTGGGATTTTGACCTTCACAACTAACAAAACAAGAATTCTGTGCAAAATTTGAATAAACAAATATGGGACTTAGACGCTAGTCAAGTTGATACATGTTAAACAATATGAATAATTATTATTAGATACAAAAAAGGAATAAAAAAATTTATAATGTTGAAACTTAAGCATGATACTTGCTAAGAGAAAAGAGGCAGACTCCATAGGGAACTAACATTGAGAGCGATTATAATATAGAAAACTACTTGAAACAACAGCTTTGAAAGCCCAATATCCTGAAAAATTAAAAATGGAACCTTGAACACTCAAACATAGGAGACAAAGGGGGAGACACCATTGTACTGGAAATGATTTTGTATTGGGAAGCTACTAGTTCTTTGTTATGCAGCAAGAGCAACATTTCTAGAAACAGACATGTATGCAAATGGACACTGAAATGCTTATACTCACAAGAACAGCAGAGACCTTGCTTGCCTACTCCGATTAGCATGTTCAAACAAAGATTGCAGTAGGCAGGCTTGTTAAAGTGTTTCAGTCTCCATACATGCTGCCCATCATCTTTCACATTCTGCACAGGACATAAAAGAAACAGATTTCACTTAATAAAATAAACAATGAAATATATAAGTGCCAATAAAAATTGGAGATTGACTCAAGAATGTAAAAGACAAGCTGTTACTTTGTTTAATACTCTGCACCAGATCACAGTATAATCATTCTAAATACACAGGCAATGATATAATAAAAAATTCTTCAGAAGCCCACAGACACCCATGTATTTCAAAAATGACTCAGAAAAAACACCATGCTGCTGTCACCACTTCAACACAATGCTAGGCTAATACTGGATTACAAGTAGTATTAAAACTAACTACAATTTGTTCTAGACAAAATAAAGGTGCTGCAGGTTAGATGGTAAAACTCCCCCAAACGAACAATAGAAAGGATTTTTTAAAACTGCAGAGATATTCTTAACGACCCTTAGAATTAGGGACATATATCAACATATGTGAAGTGGGAAATCTAACCACAACACAATAATACCTACTGCCAGCTTTCATTTATGTTAATCTACTGCCGATAGTCTATCAAGAAGCAAGTATTTAAGGGTGAGATTAATATCCTGTACCTCTTCTCCAAAAACTGAATTCCGTACATTTAAGCCCACATTTTTCAGTTAACTGTAGCACTATACTCAAATCTTGCATGAATAGACTGATAACTGATCAGCACTTACAACTCAGGGACCCACTGTAACTCATGCATACAACTAAAATATTATCAAATCATTTATATTTACGAAAGTAAGCTTTCAGTTGCACAATTCTCCTCTGCCTTCTTAATGGAATCATTATGAAACCTCACTGTTATTAGAAGGTTTTTAAAGTTATGGGTGTTTGGTACAGATGTTAAATTGATTCTGTAAATTCCAGGTTTCTTGGCAAGTGTGGCCAGACTTTTTCCTTTTTACAATCATCAGAGGTTTTGGTTAAAAAAAATAAATTAGATTAACCTAATGTAATATCACTCTATTTTTACAATTTATTTTATTTATTTTTTTACCAAATATAACATCCAATGGAAAAAAGGCAGTTAACATCTATCAGCTGGAAATGGTCTGCACTAGTTTGATTCTTCATTGTCTATTACTGAAACACAATAGTGTTCTTGGTCTTTTCATTACCAAAAAGAAATTGTCACATAGCTAAAGAAAGCCACATCAACCTCTGGTTCTTGGAAGCCACATCAACAGCTGGTTCTCATGCAGTTTCTGATTTCTCACATCAAACTTGTTATCATGTATATACAATATTCCTGACTAGATCTTCAATAATATGATGGTTTTCATTGATAAGGACAGTCAATCAGTAAGTCAGTGGACATAAATTTTAATAAAAATTCAGTTTTGTCCTATATTAGTATATACTGCATGAGTTATGTCCTCAAAAATTAGTATTGCTCTACTCTAAGAGATAGCCATTAACGACAAGTCAAAGATGAAGACTTCTTCATCCTTGGGGGGGGAGGGTGAGAATCCTGAAGGAAAATCAGCACTCCAAGAAATTAAGAATATTTGGTTCAAAGCCAGGTCCTAGCCAGAACACAACTTTGAATAATTTCTACAAATTACCTAGAAACAAAAGGATCTGAAGACAGATGGAATATTTTTTCTCTATTGAGATATCAGGATCAGAGCCTACGTGGAGTTCCCCCGATATTATCAGCAGTTCAAATGCCATCTCTGACAGCTGGGCAATGTCAGGGTCCCCTTTCTGTAGAAAGAGCAGAGCAGATGCCTAATGTGGGATTCTCAGGCTGGCAAAGAGTGTGGAAGTTTTCCAATTTCCCCTGAAGAAGCAGAAATAGATTCTGCAGCTGTGGAGCCCTAGAAGCCTGTCAAGCTCCTTCATGACTGGCAGCTGAAGAGGATGTATTCAATTAAATGGAGCTCTGTAACTTCTATTTTTCTTTCCATCTTACTATCACATTCCACACATTTTTTAAAGTATTGTTAAACTACAATATAGTATGTGAGTTTCAAGTCTTCTGCAAGTAGACAATTATTCACTAGACAATAAAGACCACATAAATCTGAGAAAAAACAGTAAACAATGTACACGTTCATTTTAACATTACTCAGGTCACCAACAGATAGTGCAAGCTGACCACCTGTCCTCAGCAAAATATTCGCTATTTCTGAAAATTAACAAAAATTCATAATTATGCATAAACTTGCCCCTCTTCCACATTAGTTTTGTGTTACTTTTTCATTTTAATTTTATTTTTAAAGAATGGCCATTGCATGTGAATATGTCGTTTCTTATTTGAACAGAACATATGGACTAACTTAGTTGGCATTTTCCTTATCAGAAAAACAAACAAGTCTTGATGTGGGTGTTCTGCCAATTAAAACACTTAACTGTGTTACAGACTGCAACTGATGCAAATCCATTACATAAACACAATGCACTTTTGGAAAATAGCAAATTAAATTTTTGCTCTTGTGCACTGCCAAAAATAAGCAATAAAGCGCTGCATATGATTATGCATGCACATAACTTTTTAAAACACTGCCAAGAAAAAAAAAAAAGACATAATGTGAAACAAAGCCCCCTCAATGCAAGTCTTTAAGTATGAATAAAATCCACAATTCTGACACATCAGTGCGTTTACTGACATTCACTCATTTTGATTCCATATCCTGTGAAAGAGTTTAAAAACAAATAGTCATTAAGAAGATCTCAAAGCAGGGCAGGTACAGTAAAAATCTCTTCCTCGCTTCATTATACATCACTGAAAATTAAGCCTCCATATGCCATATACAGACTTTAGCACATAATGACAATAGCAACATTTATTTTGTTAAAAACGGTTCTCTTATCTTATGGTCCTGACCCTTCTACCACAGATTTGATTGCCGAAAGGACCTGACTTTAAAAAGCAAGCCAACCATGAAAAAGCCAGCCTTAGAATTAGTGGGAATTTTTTTGCAGTCACAGAATTTAGCTACACATCCCTAATCTGGTTTAATATTAACTTACTTCAGCTTTTTAGATATTTGTAAATAAAGGTAGCCAAAGACATCTTCAGGTTTCATGCACAAAACTCAAGATTCTGAGACTTTAAAAAGGCAATGAAATCACTGATAAATTTTCATCCTAGCAAGTATCCCCTCTTATAATAGCCAGAGTGTCTGAAATACCAGCATGCTCAATCTTTTCTGTGAGAAGAGTCAATGACAAGCAACCAAGGGAGAAGGATGTTAGTGAGTCTGCTAAGTTATTCTTTCACTGCCTACTGCTATTTTGTTTTCATTTATTTTAAACATATTTACATGACTTGAAGACATTTTTATGACTGATCTTCGGGCATTGGTCAGTTCGTGGGAAGATGAGAAGAATGCCCATTAAACCACGCAGAACCTCCTTTTAATACAAATGCAGTTAAATTCTATATTCCTTTGGTGGCTCTCAGCAAAGAATATATGTCAGGGGTTTTTTTGTTCAATTTGGTTTGGGGAGAGGGGGTTCTAAGTCTATTCTGGTTTGACTGGAGAGGGAGTAACCTCATTCAAGACACATGCTATTTGGGAGGGCTCCTCACTTCTAATTTCAGAGATATTTTGTGTGTGTGTCTGTGTGTGCTTGAGGGGAAAAAAACCCAAAAACAACAACAAAAAAAATCACTTCCCCAGCCTTTGTCCACATGCTTACTAGTGTACTATCCTGATCATCCAGAAATGCTTAAGCATTAATAGGCACATGAAAAAATGACAGCATAGAAAAGGGAGCACAGGAGGGGAAATTAATTTGTTTAAACAAGCTTCATAATTAACCACACTACGAAGTTTTCCTGTCCCTAAATCAGTAGTCACCTGTCATCCGCAGAGACTGAAATGCTGCAGAAATTACATTTTAAATAAAGGTAAATTTGTACACCTGCATGAAATACCATTTATTTTACACCTTATACACAGAACAGGTTAGAGTTACTCCTGACTTCTCCTGGGCTTTTACCAACCTGCAGGCAAAAGGGAAAGCAGAATTGTAGTAAGGAAAGGTTTTTGCAAACTTTCTGCAAAGAAGTGGGAGCTAGCACAGCATAGAAGTAGACAGCACTGTCAAGAAAAGAGATACGCACTTTTTTTTTAGCAGCTCCTGCTCTATGAAGTCTCACAAAGTGTTAACATTACCCCCTCTGCTGGCAATGCTGTGAAATGATACTGATAAAATAGCTCCCGTTATTACTTAGGGTGAATCTGCTTTCCAGCTGGTAAGGAACTGGCACAAAGAGGGTAAGCTACAGCTTCTTCTAGCAGGGGCTTCGTTTTGCCTTCTGTACATATGGAAATAGCATATGGCTCATCGGCACTTCAGCATTTTAAAAAAACTCACCTGACAGACTTCAGACAGGGCTTTTAAAAATACCACTGGGGACAATAAAAGGCCAAATTGCCCTCATTCTTCGCTGAATGAAAGAAATACAGCTCTATGAAACAGCCTAGGTATTAAACAGTCATTTCAGACTTCAGCCTGAGAGGGATTCCTCATGGTGCAACAGATCCCACGTCAGACTGGCAAATGTTTGCAAGTCCCCAGGTTGGATCCACTTTCACATACTCAGAGCTCAAAAAAAAAGCCAACAATAGTGTAATATGCACTGTAAGAAGTATTTCCCAAGTGTGGATTCATACTCGAGTATTCCATCCCATACTTAATCAAAAAGGTTAAATAAGAGTTACCTTTTAAATTCTTTGAGTGTCATAGTGTAAGAGTATCTCATACTTCAACACAAATGTGTTTGTCACATCGAGATTCACCTTGATTTAAAAGGTGAAATGGGTTGAAAAACACAATTGGTGACTTAAAAGAAAGGCATAGTGGCCTGCATTCAGATTACTGATGACTTTGCAAAGCATTTACTGTGGTTCAATTTCTCACTCACCTTAGGGCAGCTTTTCAGCAACTGTGCAGTACCTGATACAGTGCAACTGTGACATCTAGTGGCCAGTGAAGAGGGAATAAAATACTTTCCACTCCTAAACCACAGGGTTTTTTTAAAACACTA